CTAATACCAAAGCTAGGTAAAGTACGACCAAAAAGAAAACTACAGACCCATATCCTTAATGAACATAGATGAAAAAATTCTCAACAAGATACTTGCAAACCGCATACAGACACACATCAAAAAACTCATCCACCATGATCAAGTCGACTTTATCCCAGAGATGCAGGGATGGTTCAATATACGTAAGTCAAGAAACATCATAAATCATATAAATGGGCTCCAAGATAAGAACCACATGGTCATCTCAATAGATACAGAGAAGGCCTTTGACAAAATTAAACATGCATTTATGCTCAAAGTCCTAGAGAGAATTGGACAGGAGGGAACACACCTCAACATAATTAAAGCCATATCTAACAAACCCACAGCCAACATCAATCTAAATGGAGAAAAACTGGAAGCATTCCCATTGAAATCAGGAACCAGCCAAGGCTGTCTACTATCACCACTCCTTTTTAACATAGTGCTTGAAACTCTTGCAAGAGCAATAAGACAAGAGAAGAAAATTAAACGAGTAATAATTGGAAAATAAGAGATCACATAATCCCATTTTTCAGACGATATGACATATCTAAGAGACATTAAAAATTCCACCAGAAAACTCCTAGAAATGATTAATACTTTCAATAAAGTGACAGACTATAAAATTAATCTTTAAAATTCAGGAGCCTTTTTATAAAAAGCAATTAGCAAAAGAGTATATGGAAACTCTCCCATTCACGAGAACCTAAAAAAAAAAACCTCAGAATAAACCTGAATAAAAATATTAAAGACCTCAACAATGGAAAATTTAAATCTTTAAAGAAAGAGATTGAGGAAAGCATCAGAAGATGGAAGGACCTCCCATGCTCATGGAATGGAAGAGTTAATAATGTGAAAATGATGTTCCTATCAAAAGCCATTTGTAGATTCAATGCAATACCAATCAAAATCCCCATGACATTCTACACAGAATTAGAAAAAAAAAATCCTAAAATTTATATGGAAACACAGAAGACCGTGGATAGCCAAAGCAACTCTAAGCACAAAGAGCACTGCTGGGGGGATTACAACACCAAACTTCAAACTATATTACTGAGCTATAGTCATGAAAGCAGTATGGTACTGGCACATAAATCCACCCATAGATCAATGGAACATAATTAAAGGCCCAACAGGAGTGCATGCAATTTCAGTTAATTGATATTTGACAAAGTAGCCAGGAACGTTCACAGGATGAAAGACTGCATCTTCAGTAAATGGTGTTGGTAAAAATGGCTCTCCACCTGTGGGAGAATGAAACTAGGCCCTTATCTTTCACATTTCACAAAAGTCCATCAAATGGGTCAAAGACCGCAATGTGAAACCTGTGAGAAGACAACATTGACAATAACCTACAGGACATAGGTGTATGAAAGGATTTTTAAATTGAACATCAAATTGCTCAAGAATTAAGGTCAAGAAACAAGTAGGATCTCATTAGACTAAAAAGCTTCTGTACATCAAAATAAACAACTAAGTGAAGAGAAAACCCACATAGTGGGAGAAAATCTTCACCAGTGACACATCCAACATATATTTAACATCCAGAATATATAAAGAACTCAAAACACAAAGAATCAAGAAAGCAAGTGACCCAGTTAAAAGATGGGCTAATGATCTGAACATTGAGGTCTCAAAGGAAGAAACAAAGATGCTTAGAAACATTTTAAAATGTGTTCAACATTGTTAGTAATTAGGGAAATTCAAATTACAACCACTTTAAGGTTTCATGCTACCCCAGTCAGACTGCCTAAAATCAAGAGAAAAAAATGATACTAAATGCTGGAGAGGATGTGGGGAAAGGAGAATGCTCATCCACTGCTGTGTGGATTGCAAACTCCTGCAACCTCTATAGGAGCAGTGTGGAGTACTCTTAAAAAAAAAAAATGAACCTACCATTTGACCCTGTTATAGCACTCCTTGGCATATACCCAAATGACTCATTTTATTGCAGAGATGCTTGTACATCCATGTTTGTTGCTGCTCTTTTCACAACAGCTAAGAGATGGAAGAAACCTAAATGCCCCTTAACTGATGAGTGGTTAACAAAAATGTGGTATATTTATACAGTGGAGTTCTATTTAGCAGTAAAGAAAGATGAAATAATGAAATTTGCAGGTAAATGGATGGATCTAGAAACTGTTACACTAAGT